GGATAATTTAGGTAACAGTGATCACAGAGTAATTGTATATCCCATAAATTATAGGAAATGCACACAATGGTAATACCAGAACACTAAATTTTAAAAACGAGCCAACTTTAATAGCCTGCGCTCCATATTACATGACACTAATTGGGATCAAATTCTTGCAACAAAAACCCCAAAGAAAAGTGGGAGGAGTGCTTTAAAGGCCATATTAAAACATGGTGTACCAAAAATTAAATATTGTGAAACTCTGCACTCTGAAATTAAATCAAACCTTAAATAAAATTAAAAGTGGTAGGGAGACTGCACTCACTTATACCTAAATACAGGAGTAATGAATATGATGAAAAACCGGTATTGTGCTTCCATTTCTAGTTTTGAACCTAAAAAACACACTTGTACGCTGAAATATGTCACAGTAAACAATACAAAAGGCAGTAAAATAAATATGAAAACATGTGAAAAGAAAATTCAATAAGCATATGTCCAGTGAAATACTCCAGACAAAGTGCAAAGCCACCAACAGAAAAGAGCCTCTTACTAGATATACATGATCTGTACCAATGTGTTCACAGGATAGAGATTGCCAGCTTGGCTTGAATCACAACCCAGACCGCAATCAACTCAATGAACTGAGGGCAGCAGGATACATGAGGAGAGAAAAAAAAAAAAAAAAAAAAACCGACCAGATAATGTAGCACTGTATAAAACCACTGCATTTGTCCAGTACAGAGGGTTCTCACCAGACAAGAAATTAAACAAGCTCAAAATGTTTGCCATCAAGCGCAGTTGACATAATGAGGTCAACAGCTTAGGCTCCAAGCCATCTGGAGTATGCGGTCTAGTCCTGGTCACCAATACTCAGGAAGGATGTCCTTGAACCACAGACAGTCCAGAGAAGGACAACTAAACTCATAAGGGGGGGGGGGGGGGGTGGACCTCATGAGGAAGGAATATGATAACTGTATATAAAATTTTTGAAAGGTGCTAAGCAGTGGAAGAAAAAAAAAACGTTTAATTCCCAAGTCTCAAAAAAAAAAAAAAAAAAAAAAAAAAAAAAAAAAAAAGGGGAAGAGGGAGGAAGGAGGGGGAGGAAGAGGAGGAGGAGGAGGAGAAGAAAGAGGAGGAGAAGGAGAAGGAGGAGAAGGAGAAGGAGAAGGAGAAGGAGAAGGAAGAGGAGGAGGAGGAGGAGGAGGAGGAAGAGGAGGAGGAGGAGGAGAACAGATATACAGCCACACACCCACACAATGATGTTTCAATGGGAATTGGTTCAACCTTAAAAAAAAAAAAAAAAGAAGTACAGCCAAAAGCTCTGTTGGCTGTACTTCTATGGATCACAAGTGCAGTTCATTCCGCACTCGTGTTACCCATTTTCAGTTGACAGCAGGCTGAAGCCACTCAGCAGGCCCAGACTGGGGAAAGATCCCGACTCTTGTTATCCCCCCTAAAAAGGGACCACAACCCAAACAGCAGAGCTATGTAAAGGTTTTACAGGACCCAAGCCTGGCATCCTGTACAATACAAAAAAACACACCCTTTGTGGACTTCCCCCCCCCCCCCCCCCCACCTACTATGTGGACTGTGGTATGGATGTGAATTATATCCACAATTATGTTGGATAAATTACATTTTTCTTCAAACATGCTTTTGCAGATATCTAGCACTGTTTGAATATGCTTCCCTACAAATTCTGTCTACAATATCTTATGCTTTTACTGACCTGTATACTAACCCTTTGTGCTTTCACTTGATTGTCCTTTAACAGTCTTTGGCTGATTTGTTAGAATAAAGTGATGAGGGGGTAGAGTTTCAGACGATCTTCAAACTCTCTTAGGTATGAGGGCACCCCTTCATTGGGCAAAATAGTTTTGGGGAAGACTTTCTATTTGCAGAAGTGAGAGGTTTGATTAAGACTGAGGTGGCAGGATCAACTACAGAACAGACCAATATTTCCACTGAGTAGATTTTGGCAAAGGTTTTGGAGGGAGCGAAAATTAATTCTGGAGTGACCCAGACAGCATAAATGAATTTCCTAAGATTACCATATTGCACATGAACTGTATTTTGAGTTTTTAGCTTTATTAGGAACACAAATACACTATATTGTCAAAAGTATTGAGACACCCCTCCAAATCATTGGATTCAGGTGTTCCATCCATGGCCACAGGTGTATAAAATCAAGCACCTTGGCATGAAGACTGCTTCTACAGACATTTGTGAAAGAATGGGTCACTCTCAGGAGCTCAGCTAATTCAAGCGTGGTACTGTGATAGGTTGCCACCTGTGCAATAAAGTCCATCTGTGAAATTTCCTTGCTACTAAATATTCCACGGTCAAGGGTTAGTGGTAGAATAAGAAAGGTGGAAGCAACTGGGAACAACAGCAACTTAACCACAAAGTGGTAGGCCACGTAAAATGACAGAGTGGGGTCAGTGCATGCCGAAGCACACTGTGTGCAGAAGTCACCAGCTGTCTGCAGAGTCAATAGCTAAAGACCTCCAAACTTCGTGTGGCCTTCAGATTAGCACAACAGTACGTAGAGTGCTTCATGGAATGGGTTTCCATGGCCAAGCAGCTGCATCCAAGCCTTACATCACCAAGTGCAATGTAAAGCATCGGATGCAGTGGTGTAAAGCATGTCGCCACTGGACTCCAGAGCAGTGCAGACTGTGGGAACCGTTTGGGGATGTCCTCTTCCGGATTCAACATGACAGAGCACCAGTGCACAAAGCAAGGTCCATAAAGACATAGATGAGCAAGTCTGGGGTGGAGGAACTTGAATGACCTGCACAGAGTCCTGACCTCAACCCAATAGAACACCTTTGGAATGAATTAGAGCGGAGACTGTGAGCCAGGCCTTCTCATCTGACATTAGTGCCTGACCTCACAAATGTGCTTCTGGAAGAATGGTCAGATTCCCATATACACACTCCTAAACCTTGTGGACAGCCTTCCCAGAAGAGCTGAAGCCGTTATAGCTGCAAAAGGTGGGCCAACGCAATATTGAACTCTACAGACTAAGATACCATTAAAGTTCATGTGCGTGTAAAAGCAGGCATCCCAATACTTTTGGCAATATAGTGTATATACAGAATTGTTTTAACATGCTTTAAGGAATTTTTGTATTTTTTTTTTTTGGTCCAGAGACTGCCAGCCCTGATTAAGAGATGGTGTTGAGCTCCTGAAACGTGCTGACTGTTGCAAAATAAAATCTTTTTAAAAAGGGCTGTACAAACTAGTGTGGCACGTCCATTTTTTTCAACACTTTTCTACTCAAAAGGGCCTGGCAAGACAGAGGAGAATCAAGTGTGACAATGCCAAGGCTTTTGCATACAGCAGAAAGGAATATAAATAAGGAAGAGCAAAGGAGTGAAAAATATTTGTTAGCTTCCTCTAACACCACCTTCGGGTCACTTGTTACCCTCAATGTCTGCATCTTCTAGAACAGACATTTCAGGTGTCCGGCTCATGTAACGACAGTGGGGTTGGAGAAGGAGCCTTGTGTTTTTAAGCTCTGAACAGTAACTGCTGTATTAAAATTGTTACTGGTCTGAGAACCTGTGACAGATAAATAGTTAAAGAAAAGTATGCCTTAGTCAGGTAAGCCACTTTTTGGGTGCCTGAGATACAGCTAGAATCAGATGCAGAGACCAGTATATAAATAAGGTCCTGCAAGGGAACCACGGAGTTTGGCGTTTCACCATCCAGCTTTTGCTATGGTTCCCTTTTGCTTGGTTTCTGCCATTGCCATCTGTGAGTGCATTCTTCTGTGGGGTATTCATGGAGTAGGGTACAGAAACAGAAGCAAGAATGTCAATGAAGGAGTATGCAGTAACGCTGGTTTCAACGGTCCTGTATCAAAGTACTTGTAGCAAAAGGAAAAGAGGAAGCGCCTGCATACTAAAAAAAAGGTCTTTAGTTGGAAGTGGGAGGTAAACTGTGTGACCTTGGTGTGATGTAATACCACAATTTTAGCTCGAAGTTTTAAAAAACATTGTGAATTTCAGCATTTCCAGTTTCCTGAGTGTAAAAGTATAAACGCAATCATATTCTTCATAAACAAAGACAGTGTAAAGCATGTAATGGAGGGAATATATCCCATACTTGCTGTGGGGCTACATTAAAGTTCCAATAAATGGCTGACCCAGTCCATGTCACTGTTCCCTATACACAGTCCAGGCTTCGCTCATCACAGTGGGCATACCCCTTAAAGGGTCTTCAAAGTTTGGGTTCCATAGGGATGGACCATGACCATGGATCTGTGTTGCACCCTGTTGATAACTACATGCATTGCACCAAATACCTAGGCCTTACCACCCAAGCAGGATTCGGTGTCCAAAGCAACACTACCCACAACTCTCCCAAGTACCACAAGGTTTTTCCAAGGTTGTGCCAATCTGGACTGGAAGAAAGTGAACAGTTGACTGAAGAATTCAAAGTAAAATAATAAACAAGTTAAGCGAAGTGATTTCTCTGTAAGGGAGAACAGCTCCATACCCTTAGCATACAAAACTGAGGACTTGGCAACAAAACTGAGGACACAAAGCATACTGCTTTGGCAGCGTCCATTCTCCTGAAGGTACCAGCCTATAACCCAGGGTCTTTGAATTTCAAGCCTGTGTCCTGTATTGTAAAAATAAGGTATGAGATTTTAAAATGTTGACCATAGATACGTTTTAAGCTGATGTCTAATGCACTAAGCCAGAACATAAAGAATTTTCATCTCTTTGAAGAGAGTGTTACTATAATTTCTGAACCATCATGTCTGCATAACAGTTGTTATTACAAACATTTCCTAATGGACAGTCTTGCAATGGCATGGAGGCAGGGATTTGTGTATATAACTTTTAATTAATTATGGTGTTTCCCAAGCTCCTGGGATGATCACTTTGTCGGCTGGCACTTCGTTTTTTGGGCTCCTAGGGCTGGCAAATTTCTGTGCATGGTCATAGTTTTCATACAATTCTTTGGACTAAAACATTTAAAACGGTTTTCTTAAATCTTACCTTCAAGGTTTGTTGGGGAACTTGATTTTTAAGATCTTGCAGCAGCAGAAGAAAGGCAGTTTCATCTTCAAAATTAAATAGCAGCGGATTCTAAAGTGCGAAAAATAGGATTTTAATAGAACAATATACATTTACACATAAATAAAACTCCTTTTCCTTAACCACTTTTTACGCAGAACCAATTTCATATGAGGTATTTGATATGGTTTCCTGCTTTCCTTCTTTTACCTCTAATTCTTGTGCAAAGATGGTTTAATGCACCTAGATAAAGATGGATTTACTGCTTTTGAAAAGTAGTGTGTAGAATTTTAATTGAACATGCCATACACACTATATTCTTAGTTTGGTTGGGTTGACAAAATTGTGTCGCGGCAATACACACACACACACACACACACACACACACACACACAATCATTCATCACTAAAGCAAAACTCCACCCAAAAGGGGAAGTTACACGTTTGCATCCTCCCCCTCCACGGTCACATTTGGCACTTTTTGGTAGGGGGGGTGGGGGTGGGGCGGGTACCTGGTTTTGATAGGTCAGATCACCGCGGTGATCTGAATTAAAGTTTGGCCCCCTCCTTTCCCCCCAAAACCTTCTGGGACACATCATAGTTCCCAAAAGTCTGCGGAACCATTCAAAGTGCAGCGTGGCTCGTACATGCTCAGTAGGAAACCAGCTGTGAAACTGCAAGACATTGTGTGAAACTAATAAGTGCTGCGCTAACGTGCTTTTAAATACTATACCTAAATTCTCCCATATGCAAAGCAACTATAAAAAAATAATTACAGTATAGTGAAAAGAACAACATTTTTAAAAAAATGTGCATGAAGGAATGTCCATCTAGATCAAAAGTAGATCCACGACCTCTTTGTTTCCCGCTCCATCAACCTCCTAGCGATCACAGAAACCTGGATCCAGCCCACTGACTCTACCTCCCCTGCTGCACTCTCCTACGCAGGTCTCACCTGGACCCATTCACCCAGGCCTAACGGTCGTAAAGGTGGTGGGGTTGGTCTGCTCCTGTCACCGCAGAGCACCTTCCCAGTCCTCCCAAACCCCCCCTCCCTATCCTTCTCCTCCTTCGAGGCCCACTGCGTCCGACTATTCTCCCCAAACCCCCCTGAAGATTGCTGTGATATACAGACCTCCTGGATACATATCCCGCTTCCTGGATGACTTTTCCTCCTGGCTACCCTTCTTCCTTTCCTCTGAGCTACCCACCATCATCCTTGGGGATTTCAACATCCCTGTCAACCTCGACAACCCAGACACATCCCATCTCCTCCACTTAACCTCCTCCTTTGCACTTGCACAGTGCATACAATCCACCACCCACTCCAACGGTAATATCCTTGATCTCGTCTTCTCCAACTGCTGCGCTCCCCTCAACCTCACTAACACTCCCTTCCCTCTCTCTGACCACAACCTGATTATCTTCTCTATCTCCTCGTCCTCCAACACCTACCCCTCCAAATGTCACACTACTACCAGCCTTAACCTCCGCAACCTTAACCCTGCCTCCCTCCACTCTGCAGCTGATCAACTCCACGACAGCATCCTACCCGTCCTGCCCCGACTTGGCTATGACTGCCTACAACAACGCGCTGTCAACAGCCCTTGACTCACTAGCGCCTTTAACCACATGCAACATCAGACCCCGACCGCTCCAGCCCTGGCAGACTGATCACACCAAAACCTTCAAACGACAGTCGTGCCCTGGAGCGACTATGGCGCAAAACCAAATCCCAACAAGCCTTCACCCGCTACAAATCTGCCTTCCACACCTACACCTCCTCCCTCCAGGCAGCCAAACAAGCCTACTTCCAGACCCTCATCAAGGCCCTCTCCTCCAATCCTCACTGACTCTTCTCCACCTTCTACTCTCTACGCTCTCCACCCCCACCTCCACCCAGCACCTCACTCACTGCCCTTGAGATTGCCAATCACTTCAAAAACAAGATTGACACAATTCGCAAGGACATCGCTGCAACTCACACGCCCTCTCAACCCGTCCCCTCTCACACAGCTACCCCCTCATCCCCCCTCTCCCTCGACATAACCCGCAGGGACTTCGTCGCTGCTCAAACTCCCTCCAACCCCGTTCCCCCTCACTCAACTACCCCCTCATCACCCCTCTCCCACGGCCCCACCACTGCTCTGACCTCCACTTCCACCCCACATTCCTCATACTGAAGCCCCCCCCCCCCCAACACTCCGCACCTTTGACCTTACTACCATCGAGGAAGTCTCCAAGATCCTCTCTGATGCCCGCCTCACCACCTGCCCCCTCGACCCTATCCCCTCAACTCCTACGATCTCCCTCCCCCTCCATCCTACGCTTACCCCACATCTTTAATCTCTCCCTCTCCTCCGGCACTTTCCCCTCCCCTCTGAAACATGCACACATCACCCCCATACTTAAAAAGCCCTCCCTGGACCCCAATGACCCGAAAAACCTCAGACCCATCTCCCTGCTCCCATTTACATCTAAACTCCTTGAGCACCTAGTCTACACCCGCCTAAGCTCTCACCTCAACGACAACAACCTCCTCGATCCCCTACAGTCCGGCTTCCGTCCCCTACACTCCACCAAAACTGCCTTACTTAAACTCTCCAACGACCTGCTAACCGTCAAAGCTAATGGCCACTATTCAGTGCTCCTACTCCTTGACCTCTCTGCGGCTTTAGACACAGTCGACCACCCCCTCCTCCTCAAAAAACTACACTTCCTCGGCCTCAGAGATTCTGCTCTCTCCTGGCTCTCATCCTACCTGTCAAAACGCTCTTTCAGCGTTACCTATAATGTTACCACCTCCCCCTCACTCCCCCTCTCTGTTGGGGTCCCTCAAGGCTCTGTCCTCGGGCCCCTTCTCTTCTCCATCTACACCTGCTCCCTTGGACAACTCATACACTCTCACGGCTACAACTACCACCTCTATGCCGACGACACACAAATCTCTCAACCCCCCACCTCACCCCCTCGGTCTCTGCCCGAATTACACACCTACTGAGCGACATATCAGACTGGATGTCGCTCCACTTCCTTAAACTGAACCTCTCCAAAACCGAGTTTCTTGTCTTCCCCCCAGCCCAGACCCCACCCCCCATTGACTTCTCCATCATGTCCAACAACGCCACTATCAAACCCGCCCCGCAGGCCAGAGTACTTGGTGTCATTCTGGACTCCAACCTATTCTTCCAGCCCAGAGTCCAATCTTTAACAAACTCGTGCAGACTCCACCTCCGTAACATTGCCAAAATACGCACGTTCCTAACCCCAGAAACCACTAAACAGCTCATCCACTCCCTCATCATATCACGACTCGACTACTGCAACTCCCTCCTCACTGGCCTGCCTCGCTGCTGGCTATCCCCGCTTCAGTCGATCCTGAATACGGCTGCCAGACTTCACCTTTCCAACCGCTCCGTTTCCGCCACCCCCCTCTGCCAATCCCTCCACTGGCTTCCGATTGCGCAATGGATCAAATTCAAAATCCTAACACTGACGTACAAAGCTGTCCACCATACTGCCCCGTACTACATCTCTGACCTAATATCCAAGTACCGCCCAGCACGCACACTCCGCTCCTCACAAGACCTCCTCTCTAGTTCCCTGGTCTCCTCCTCCCATGCCTGCCTCCAGGACTTCTCCAGGGTGTCACCCATCCTCTGGAACTCCCTGCCCCAACCCATCAGATTATCACCTACTCTCCTCTCCTTTAGGCGCACCCTGAAAACCCATCTCTTCAGGGAAGCCTACCCCACCCCCTGCTAACCTGCCGACCTCCTCCACTCTTCCTACCACTCCATCTCCCACAGCTATCTCCTGTACCACTATCCCCTCCCTCCTAGATTGTAAGCTCCAAGGAGCAGGGCCCTCGATCCCCTCATGTTTTGCATTGTATTGGTATTGTTCTGTCACATGTTCTGTCCCCCTTTGTAATGTACAGCGCTGAGCGAACTATTGGGGCTTTATAAATACTGTATAATAATAATAATCAATTCTGCAGGATGTGTGGTTGTATCAAACACCAGAGTTCCACCTCCATGCTCCAAAATTAGCACTCAGTGAACCACCACCAGCTGTACTCTTAACATTACTGTTATGACCTCCCACAACGTGTTTGGTTATAAATGTTTTTAACCCACCAAGCAGATGAATATTTCCTCTCCACTGGCATTCACACCATCCATGATAGGGCTCTCCTTCTACTGCCTCTATTCTCCACCATGTAAACAAAATGCTTAAAAAAAAAAAAAAAAAAAAAAAAAACAACTGGAGGGCTTAAAGCCTTACTAATCCCAAGACTCTGCATTCACTATATTCAGTCTACCACAGTACACAGAAATGCAATTATTTTAGTTAATATGAACTGCTAAATAACTTTTTTCATCAACAGTTAGAGCAGTCTTGTGACTTCTATCAGTGTTCAGCAGAGCACTGGTTAAAGCTTGTAGGAGTTTTGATTCTTCCCCAGTTTGTCTTATGAGGCTGCAGGACCACTGACCCTCTCTCTGGACAGTGCTGATTGGCCCTGTGCAGATCACCCTCCCAAAGAACAAAAAAAAACACAACCCTCTAGCAATACACACTAAACTGAGCACATGCAGCTTCCCCCAAAGGCTCTGTTCTATCAGCAGATTGGAACAAGATTCTATCAGGATTGGGGACAGTAGAAGGTCACAGGGAGAGAGGAAAGATCACAGAAGACAGGATTAACCTCTTAGGTTCCACAGTGAGTATAAAACATGCTTTACTGCATATAAAGACTGATTTTACAGTTGTGGGTTTAGTAACACTTTAATATTGTTTCCAGCTTCTGGGACTGTCAGCACTTTAGACCTCAGGTACTTTGCTGTCAAGCCTCAGCTGGGTGATGGAAGACTCGCCCCAGCACATAGGCTGAACGAGAGGAATCTAATAGGTTTCCCTATCCATGCTAAATAGTGTGGATGCAGAAATCTCCAAAGTCAGCTATCCAGGACACTCAAACAGTGACTACATCTGATTGGATGTGATCA